AGTTTTTGTGTATGGTGTGAGGTACAGATCTTGTTTCATTTTTCTGCAGATGGATATTAAATTTTGCTAGCACCATTTATTAAACAAACATTTTCTTCCTCATTTAATGGATTTAGGCCCTTTGTCAAAGATAAGCTGACCATAGGTCGATGGATCTATTTCTGGGTTCTCAATTCTATTCCATTGGTCTATGTGTCTGTCATTGTTCCAGTACCAGGCAGTTTTGACTACTGTGGTTGTATAGTAGGTTTTGAGATCCGGCAGTCTGAGACCTCCTACTTTGTTCTTCTTCTTCAGTAGTGCTTTGCTTATCTGAGCTCTCTTTCCTTTCTACATAAAGTTATTGATTGGTTTTTCCATATCCTCAAAAAATGTTGATGGAATCTGGATTGGGATTGCATTGAATGTATAAATTGCTTTGGGTAGAACTGACATTTTCACAATGTTCAATCTTCATATCCATGAGTATGGTATGTTCTTCCATTTATGTAGATCTCTTATGGTTTCTTGAAGTAGTTTTTATAGTTTTCTTTGTATAGATCTTTTGTGTCCCTGGGAAGATTTATTCCCCAGTATTTAATTTTTTTGGTAGCTATTGTAAATGGTATTGATTTCCTTATTATTTTTTTCAGCAATCTCTTTGCTGGTGTAGAGGAATACAACTGATTTTTGGATGTTGATCTTGTATCCTGCCAAAAGAAACATTTTTGAAGGTTACCAAAGTTGGGAAGGGGAGAGAGGGAACGTCACTTGACTACTTGACTAGATCAAAGATACCTATTAATTTGGGTGAAGGGAAAAGCAATGTACAATAAGGGGGATATCAGCAGAAATGATCAAGGAAGAAGATGACACTGGGTGGTGCAAAAGAGATAAAGGCAATACATGTAAATATTATTACATACCGAATCTTGCAATAACAGTAGTAAAAATAATCTACGAGTGGATATATAGACACTCAATATAAATAGAGCTGGCAAGGTGAATGGGACTATACTCACAAATATAGATAGATTTGACAGAGGCTATTTCTACGTACATATTTGCCTGTACTGCAAATATATCCATGAATACAGTAAAGTGTACAGGGAACATTGTGGAATCTTTTTAGCCATAACCAAATACCTTGAGGAAATCAGTCGCTAGGTTTGGGGCTTAGGACCATAGTCTTAGGGGACACCAAAGTCAATTGCCATAACATAAACCCCAAAGACAATGTTCTACATCCTATTTTAATGAGTAGGGTCTGGGGTCTTAAAAGATTATAAGCAACCGCCAAAGGTACAACCATTGTTCTTTCCCTGTCCGGAGCAAAGAAGAATGAGGAAAATCAAAGATGCAAGGAAATAGTCCAAAGGACTAATGGACCACGTGAACATAGCCTCTATAACCCTAAGACCCAAAGAGTAGATGGTGACTGGTTATGACTGCTGACAGCCGTGAAAAGGATCACAATATGTGGTCCTGGATACAGAGGGAGAAAAATGAGGAACAAAACTTAAAATCGTAAAAAACACCAGACTTACTGATCTGATGATACAGACTGTTGGAACCCCTGAGTCTATGGCCCTTAGACACCTTCAAGCCTGGAACTGAACTCACCCCCGTGTATCAACTTTCAGCCAAATGACTGACAGACTTAAAATGTGAATAATATCATCAGGGAGGTAAACACTCCTTAGAACAATTGACCATACAATATCAAAAGAATAGCATTTGTCTAGGCAGGAAAGAAGAATGAATGGAAATGATAAACACAGTCAGGAAGTGAAAAGAGTGCTGTTACATTGTGAGGATTACAGGATTACAGTCAATGTCACATACAAAATGTGTATGAATTGTTGAATGGAAAGAACAATTTGTTCAGTAAACTTTCACCAAAATCACAATAACAACTGAAAAAAAAAATCGGTCATTGAAAACCTTATGGAGCACAGTTGTAGTCCATCACAGATGGGATCCACATGAGTCAGAATCAATGGCAACTGGTTTAATTGGTAAAGTTTATGAACTGTGGAGGATTAAAAGATTGGTAAATTAAGAGAGAAATAGCTGGGAAGGATAGGTGGTTTTAGAAGTGGGGAAAGAAATGATTTTTTAGCATATTAACTTTAAGGTTATGCAAGAAGTAATATTGTTGGTTAGTGGTTATCTCCTGTTGTGGTTATAAATTAGGAGGACCAGTGAACTAATAATCAGAATCATTTGGAGATCTTTGAAAAAACATACATTTCTCCCACTCAGTTACCCAACCTTGAGTTTCTTTGTGGGAGTTGTGGTTCCAATACACCACCTTTCCCTTCTTTTTCCTTTCCTTGCCACCCCTCCCCTTGCTTTCCAGTGGAGAACCCATTACTCATGGTTTTTTGGGGAGAAAGGACGGGGAGTGGAACTTGACAGAGATTGATTCCAATACACTAATACTTCCCGTCGTCTTCTTTCACTTTCCCATACCTACTCTTCTATTCCCCAGTTGAGACCATTACTGTAGGTTTTAAATGGGAAACTAAAGCTTGAGAGAGTCTGAGGTTAGAAGAGCAGATTAGGAGTCTTCAGGGAGTAGGAAAGAGTTGAATGGGTAAACTAACTAAGGTTGTGAGTTCAGATAGTAAGTGGAGGACTGAGGCCAAAGCCTTTATTGAATTTTAATTTTCAGAATTAAATATTACAGATAAAAATTTTTCTCTTTAATGAAGTGTAATGATCTTCATTTTTATACCTAATCATATATATCCCACTATTTCATGTTTTACATTGCAAATAAATCTCTTATGGAAATTTTTTTCCTTTAACTGTATACAACTGTCACAGTATTTCCCTTTTTAAAGGTATTGGCCTTAGTTTTTTGGTATATGTATGTTTCACAGCTTCTTTCACCTCTCTTTTTTTGGTTTCTGATTTTAGGGGAGTTAGAATGGTTAAATCCATCTTGGGCATGTGTGAACTTGGAATTGTTGGGTGCTTGTTTTTCCTTTTCTTTTATTGTTAAATGTTTGCCTTAAAATCACATCTTAAAAGAAAAATATCTTGTGTCTGTTTGCAAATTACTTTGGATATGGGAACTGATCAAAATTAGATAGAACTGAAAAAATTGGTTGGTTACATTTGTTAAAACTCATCTGTGTAGCTGAGTAAAACTAACTTACACAGTGGTGAACTAGACGTGTATTCCCTTACATGACCTAGTTTTCTGGTCTCATTTTGACATATTATCATATAGATCGTGCATGATTTGATAATAATATATGAAGTCTAATTTTTTTCTAAAACATTTTATTATATAAGTTGTGCTAAATGGACTGTTATGGTTATATTTTTGTTTTAGTTTGAAATGCTTACTGGTACTCTGCCATTTCAAGGCAAAGACAGGAATGAAACCATGAATATGATACTGAAGTAAGTATAAAGAGTATCTTTTTCTTTTGGGGAAAAAAAATCCTTATTTTCAGTTTTAAGAAACTTAATGTGATTATAAATCAACACAAAAGAGTATTTTTCACATTCTCTTGGCACTTCCTCCTACCATTTAAAAAACAAACAAACAAACAAACAAAAAACCCAAATCCTTTACCATCTAGGCAATCCCAACTCATTGTGACCCTATAGGGTTTCCAAGGCTGTAAATCTTCATAGCAGCAGACTGCCTATTCTTTCTTCCATGGAGTGGCTGGTGGGTTTCAACTGCTGACCTTTTTGTTAGTTTCTAAATGCTTTAACTACTGCACCACCCTCTTTATTATTATTTTTTTAACTTAGAAGTGTAGCTAGTGTATTTAAGTGAAATTTTCTAAAATCCTCTTTTTTCAGAGCAAAACTTGGAATGCCTCAGTTTCTTAGTGCTGAAGCACAAAGTCTTCTAAGGATGTTATTCAAAAGGAATCCAGCAAATAGATTGGGTATAGTTACTTGTCTCATCTTTTATAATGATGTACTGAATAATTTGGGGGATAATTATACCTTTATATTTTCAGATTTTTTTAAGTTCATTTACTGCTTATATTAATTTATATATAGAATTTTGCAATTGTGTATGAAAAGATTCCTGAAAGAATAAACTGTTATGTACACGATTTAAGAAATGGAGTGGCCTAATTGAAACTTGTTTCATTGTAACATTATGTGTTTTATGTAAGGATGACATTTTTGAAAGAATTCACAGAATTTTCCTTTTTATAGGTAATCATTTTAGATATTTGAAAGTAGCTATTTTCTCCCTCACTGTATTCTTCAAGATAAGTATTACATGTCCAGTACTACTCACTCTTTGACCACTTTCTGATAGCTTTTGCCCAGATCCAGATGTAATCCTATTTATATACTTGTGTTAAAATTTCAGGATCAGTTTATTTCTCTGTACTTCATAATTTGACATGTAAATATAAGGCCATAAATATAGAATAAGAAGAATAGAAAATGTACTTAAATTAGAATGTTATATTGAACATAATTTTGGTTTTATTAGCAAGGCACTTCAGTATTTTATGACCTAAGTAATTCAATGTGATCATCAGTTATTTTTATCATAATAAAGTGAAAGAACCTATTAATAAAATGAAAGATAAGGAATCAGAATTTTCATTGCAATGAACTTTCAATGTATATATATATTGGTGTATAAATGTATATACTACTGTTTACAGACAACAGCCTGGATGGTAGATAGCAAGATATAAAAAATCATTAGAAAATGCCTTCCATTTTTGTAGGTTCAAAAGGAGTTGAGGAAATCAAGCGACATCTTTTCTTTGCAAATATCGACTGGAATGTAAGTGCAGTGGAAAGTTTGTTACTGAATATGTTTAGAGTAATATAAACAAAAACCTTAAGAATAAGTTATAATATATAGCCTTTGCTGATAAACTAAAGCCATTTGTTTGTGTATTTAGTCTGTTTTTTTTTTAATAGCTGTAGCATATTATGGAAGTTGTCTTGAACCAGGAGATGTATGGATAATATTAAGTAAATATTTTGCTTTTCATTTGTTTTATCTGTTAAGCATAGTTAATGCTCTGTCCCTATTCTATGTTAGGGAATGTGGAGGAGAAAGGAAAGGGAAAAGGGGATGAAAGATATCACAGGTTTTTATGGAAAATGAATTTTAAAGAATCTAAGATGTTAATTAATTGCAAACTTTTTTGTCATATATTACAACAAAGTAAATTTATTAAGAAATTAGTATCTTTCTACAGATATCTCACTAAATTGTAGAAGAGGACATGGAGAACAGAAACATTGTGAAATTCTGTTAAGTCATGTATAGAGATTAAAAAAAAAAAAATTAGCTCCAACACCCAGACTAATAAGTATTTCTTAGAAAAGCTTACTTTTTTCCTTGTTTCTTGTATAACACAACTTTATATATTTTATATGTTATCAATCATCATAATTAAACATTTTTAATAATCTAGTTCAGGCATTGGTACTGATTTTTTTTTTTCCAAAAGGATCAAAGTTTCTGTTTTGATTTCTGGCACTGCGGTAGAGATTCACTAGTTCACTGACCAAATCCTAGTTTCATTTGGCTTGTGGAACAACTTTTGGTAGGCAATATTTTGATTTATTTTTTATAATTATAAAGCTATAGGAAAACATAAGCCATTAATACTAATGCCCTGAAAAACTACTCAATGGAGATGTTTCATAGGAGACTGCTATCATCTTATTTGTATGCATCTCTCTTTTGGTATCCTTGTATCCACCCCCCCACCAGTGATTCTGTACTCTTCTTTCTCTTTACTGCACAAACCATGAAAAAAAAATCCAAATTGTCCTTATATATAAACAGTTTGTGTTTATTGTTCTTAATTTAAAGAACAAGTTAGTACAGTGTTTACATATTTAAATTACCATAACTTAATTCCCCACTCAATTTTACCCCATTGTTGGACTGTGAGCTTTTAAAGAATAAGTTTTTTTTTAAAGTAAGTTTCTATATCTTAATATATATTTTCTATGTCTTTCACAAAAGTATAAATTTTAGTAAGTTACATTGTCAAACATGACGAAACGTGTGAACACTGTAATAGAAGCCCTAAATAGTACATTTAGTATATATTTTTATTTGAAAACAAAATATTTTAGATGAAATATATACTTTTTCAAGATAATCTAATGATTGATTTTAAAATCCTTGGGTGTTATTTCTGCATGGTAACATTGTCATATATTCTGTATGATTATATTATCGAGTGATAATTAAAATCGGTTTTTGATTACCAAAATTGATCATCATTATTCCTTGTAAACACAACCTGTGACATCACTGCTGTGTTTCCTGACCTTATCTCATTTGTACATTATCTCTCACATTTTTAGAATTTGGTTAATAGATATTTGAAGCCTGTTTAAATTACTGTTAATGTTCTGTTAAAGACCATGAATAGCTTATTCTGCTTTCCCTTGTTGTTGTCAAGTGCTGTCCAGTCAGTTTCAACTCATAGTGACCCTATGTACAACAGAATAAAACACTGCCCAGCCCTGTGCTACCCTCACAATCTTTGCTGTGCTTCAGCTAATTGTTGTAGCCACTGTGTCAGTCCATCTCATTGATGGTCTTCCCCTCTTTCACTGACTCTTCCCTTTACACAGTGTGATATCTTTTTCCAGAGACTAGTCCCTTCTTACAGCAAGACCAAAGTATGAAAGATGAAGTCTGGCCATTTTCTCTTCTAGGGAGCATTCTGAGATCCCCGCTGGCATAGTGCCTGCAAAAACGGCAAGGAGGCCACAAGTTCCAACCTCCTCTAACCCTACAAGAGGAAGACAGAATTATCAGCAGTAACCCAAGGCCTATTCCTACAAGGCCAGACATGCTGCCTCTCTCCAGCCCTTTCTCCAACTGTTCCCCCCAAAGCACCCACCACCTCTCTCCTGGGTTCGATAATTCACTGCAGTGGCCACACAGAGCTCATAGATTATGGGGTTTATTAGGGAAGCACCACAGGCTACAATTCAAGTTCAGGAAAAATGCTCAGTCTCTCTCCCAGCCCACCGTCCCTCAGCCAACAGTCTCTCACAGTCTCTTTCCCAGCAGTGCTGG